GATGTAGTGAGTGGCTGAGAGAGGAGCTGATTCTCCATTATGACACATCCGCATGTCTGTCTTCAATAAAGTACCATATATTGCAACATAGTTCTTTTCTTGTATTTATTTATTTTATTTTTTTCTTGAGGGAATGGCATTTTCATAAAACAACAACGACATAGTTTCTCTCAATACCCCGACTAAAAAGGACAGGAATGTTGCAATGTTACCAAAATGCCCATTCATCCATTTATTGTTCCGATTATCCTGTTCCGGGTTGTAATGAGCTGAAGCCTTTCCCGGTGACTTTGGTGAGAGGCAGATTACACCCCGGGATTGGTCAGCAGTCAACTACAGGTCACAGAGAGTATAAGGGGAGACAACCATTGTCACTCAGTTTACACCTATGGATAATTTACAGTCTTCAATTAATTTAACAGGCATGATATTGGAATGTGGAAGGAAGCTGGCATGCCGGAAAGAAATCCACACAAGAACGCAGGAAATTCCACACAGGAAGGCCGGTGCCAAGATTCAAATCCAAGACCTCTTGACTTGGGGGGGCAGACATGCAAACCTCTGTGCCTACCAAAATGTCATATTTTTTTTTTAATGAAATGAGGCTGGCTGGCGACCAGTTGAAGGTGTAGACTGCCTGTTGCTCAAAGTCGGGGCTGTGATACGTCCAAGGTCTCCGTGACCCAGAACAGGATGAAAGGATGGAGAATGGATAGATGCGGTCACACTGATATGGTCACTATTGTTTGGCCTTGTACTGGTTGTCAATCTCATGCGTTTAATTGCTAAAATGCTCAACGCTGATTGATTATTATGATGAAAAACACATGGAAATATGATTGCAATTAACTTTGAGAACACAAATTATGACAAACGTGAGAATTGTCTCTGGCCTAAAGTGACAACATGAAGGAAAACTGAGCAGATGGATGATGGATGTTACTTGTTTTGGTTGTTCGTTATGAGTGATTTCAATGCTGGATTTTTTTTTTTTTTTGGAGCTGTTCATCAGGGTGAGGACAGACTGTTCTGATTGCTTCAGTTTTAACCGACGGGCGATCTGTTCTCCTGGTGTGGGTCAGCGCCTTGGGGGTCTTCAGCTGACAAAATAAACCAGTGTTCCCAATGTCCACGTCCGCAAAGCTGGCCGACACGTCTCTCCGATCGCATTCCCCAATGTAACCTCATTACAACCGGGGAGAAGACAATGAGATAAATCTGAAATGTTTCCCCACCGCTGTGTCATTGGACCTATTTTTATTGTCCCGTGACGTATTGTGTCATCTGGAGAGAAGTAGTTAGGAGTTTTTCTGATAAGAGTACAAGTGACTCCTGCACACAATCCAACAAGTCGCTTCCTCTTCCTGCTTGTGAGGCGCTTGAGTCACAGGCGACATCACAGGAGAAAGTCAGGAGAGACACAGACACGGAGGATGTGTGCAGATTTTTTTTTTTTTGGTCATTGTGCTGTTAGGAGCACCCGCTTTACAAACACACCCAAATTCTTTTGCCGGGAAAACAGGCACATGGCACATATCAGACTTTAATTTACCGGTAAGTCTAAAGACGTCACAAGCCTCATAAGCGACAGTAGAACAATATGAAGAACTCCGGTACAATGACGGCCTCAGAGGAAAATCCGTTAGATTGACATCATTCCTCTAAAATAATTGTCACCCGTGACACGAATTAGGGTTCTAGGATCAAGAGTTTAGAGGTGCTCTACTCCCGGCAAGATAAATTTCAAATCAAATGTACCCCTCGGTTTCCCTGTGTCCTAAAATGAGTTATAATGTAAAGCCTGTCAGTCGCACCTTGGCTTTAAAATGAACACGCACATAACAGCTAGCGTAGCTGCTATCGTTTCATCTCAAACAGAGGAGAAAGGTGCTGTCCCTAACAACCTGAAACGTTTTCCTACCTAGACAACAATGTCAAGCGACGCCTATAAAACAACATAAATGGTAGGCTATGACTAAATGCAGAAACAGTGAGGAATTGTGGTCAGAATAGTGTGCTAGCATTGAGCGGTAGAGCTCCCATTTCCTGGTTTAAGCCTGATACTTATGTGACAAAACATTTTTTAGGCAAGGGGGACACGCTGTATTTTTGTTGTTAAAATATTGCATCTCAGAGGAGTACTATATGATTGGACACTTTTGTAGCTTGTTTTAAAAGAACATAAAGTAAACTACATCAAATCTCCCAAATTTTAGGGATGCTGGGCCCCAATTTAGGTGTGCTTGAGCATCACCCCAAAAAATAGGGCGTGAGTTTTTTCCAGTGCGAACACAATCTGAGAAAAACTGCACTGAAATTGTGCTTAGAGGTTAGCGTTAGCGTGTGATCGGTCCAGCGTGTAGCCTCCCTCTCGCCCATGTCAGCTGGACTAGGCTCCAGTTCACCCGCGACCTCAATAAGGACAAGAGCGACACAGAAAATGGCCGGATGAATAGATAAAATAATTTCGAGGGAACTTTCGAGAGGACTTGGGCGCGAGCCAAGCCATTCCATGGAGTCTCTGATTTGTATAAACAGTTTTTATTTTATGAGTTTGGCATCTTGTTTCAGGTCTTCCCAGGTAAACGATGTTTACCTCTCAGCCCACATCCTTTTCTGGTATGCGTTACGACAACCCTTGGAGAGGATAGGCCACTTCATCGGCTTCTCCATTGTTGCTCTTCTCCACAAAGTGATTTTACCATTCAAATTAGGTCAAACGCAAACTATTCCTAGAATGGGGTTAAGGATCTGACGTCAAATGTAAGGCGAGAGATGAATTGTCAAGATGTGTGTATACTAATGAATAGTGATCCTATCTTACATGTACGATGCGGATCAGTTCCTTTACGAACGAAGTTACTTTTTATATTGTTCTTAGCATTACCGCAGGGATTTCCTTGCTCATTTCTTGTGCCAGCAACAACTTAACGAGAGCGGCTTGATGAGCGTTGTGATCTTATCAGAAGAGGCAGATGGTGGTGCCAGCACAATGCAGGACACCGCATTGACGCTGGGCACGGCTTTTGCTCCGAGTAGGAGCAGGTTGTCGCGCCTCACCTCACAGTCGACCCGTGCTGAACTGTTTTGACCTTTAGCCCCCCACCCCCATGCCGCCCTCCCCCACCTTTCCCTGCCAAACGGCAGCGTGCTATGAATGGTTGTGCCGTGACGCGACACAGGTTTGTTCCCATTGTCCCAGAGTGGACACAACGTCTCTACCTCTTCCTTTTGGTCATTTCAGGAGTCTGCCATACAAGCTACATCTCGACGCTTTTCCTGTGTTTTCAGACAGGCAAGCATCCACTTTACAATATCAAACAGAAGAATCACTTGTAAGATTAGTCACCTGATGACCTTCTGGGAAAGTCTGTAGGTGAGTTTCACACTATGTTCAAAGAAAATATGCCGATCTCTGGGAAATTTGCCCCGAATCTTAGAATCTGCTCGATGGATCGTGCGGCAAGATGACCGCAAAACGTGAGCAAACGTCAAACGTCATTTGATGGCCTTTTGAACAGTACAATATTTAGGACAAACATGATCAATGGAGAGAACATTTTGACCTACGATATTACGCTCTTGTTTATGTTCGCTAAAACGGACCGTCCCTCCGCGAAGGCGATAAACTTTCGGTCACCCGTGCTCTTATCTGACAAGACAACACGCGCCTCATTGTTTGCTTTCAACTTGTACATGGTAGGAAATGTACCGTATGTCAGCGACAAAGTGGGTCAACACTATAGGGACACAGAGTGATGCGTGCACAACATACAGTATATAATAATATGCAAATGTAATATTTCCGTTTTTAATCCATCCATTTCCGATGCCGCTTATTTTGCTCAAGGTCGTCGCGGAGCTGGAGTCTCGCCCAACTGACTTCGGGGCAAACGGCAGACTTCACGCTGGACTGGTCGGCAATCAACGCATGCTTTACTAACGGTGAATAGCTCTCCAAGAGGGTCCATTAAAACTAAGAATTGCAGTGGTACCTTTACTTACGAACGTCTCTTCAATCGAAATTTTCAAGTTACGAAACGTCTCAACAGGAAAATATTGCTTAGATAGTTTTAGGTAAATTTGAATCACCCAGAAAAAGTGTTCACCAGTCGGGCGATCGCTCACTGTCTGATGTTTGCCTTGGACATTTTCGAAGGATTGTTAAAAGCCGACAAAAGAAAACATCCTTGGATCAGTTCTTTACAAAACGCCAGGCATGAACTAATGAGGGCAAAAAAACGATGAGGACGCAGTTAAAAGTTAAATGACCATCATTTTTATTCTTTATTTTTTCTTTTTTTACATAATGCACAACTCTCATTTATTGCGCAATAATCAAATTGTAACATGTAGTTGTTACATATTTTGATGCATTTTTATGCTTTAGGAAACATTTTTGCCTGAACTTAGGGGGGGCCTTGGAACGAATTAGGGAATTTACGCCTCTCTACTTACATTTTCTAGTTAAGAAATTTTTCCAGAATCAATTAATTTCGTAAGTAGAGGTTAGAGGTACCACTGTATTTATTATCTTTGTGAAAGCAGAGATTTGTCGACGGTTATTGGTTTGGATTTGCATGGCCATCACGTCACGGCAAGTCTGCGATGTCAGCTGACTTATGGATGCCGGACGTGGTCACCTTTGAGGTTTTCACTTGCCGCGGGGGAAATATGCAGTAGGGAACGGCAATCGTGAGAAAGCCGAGGCCTTGTGCACGGACCACCTCCGGTAAACACGCCTGGGTGAAACTTCTGCACTCGCAATAAGCCAGGAATGTACATTTGAATTACACGGAGCCGTCTGTCAGGTGTCCGTTTTCCATATTTGTATTAACGTTCTGAAATAATGTGAAATCAGGCTGTGATGTATTGTTTTCCTTATCTCCTGTTCTCTAACACGTCAACTTCCCCCCAAGTGAAAACAAACAAGATTCTGGGTGTCTCTCCCACATCCTCCCCATGGGCTGAGCGTATGTGATGTCACTGTCCCGCCCTACCTCATATAGACAGCCTCATCACCAACGGTATGTTATCCTGTCGTGCGGGCAAGAGGGCGACCCGCTCGCTGTTCACACAATGGGGTGGAGGCTCGAGGTCGACAGTTCAGTGCTGCGCTTTCTCCATCTGCGGCAAAACAAACATTTGCAAAAAGAATTTTTGGTGAGCGCAAAAAACGATAAACCTCACCTTGGCGTCAAACTCCATGAATGGTGTTTTGGGTTCCAATAGTAACAAATACACTTTCTATCCGTCCAGTTGTGCTCGCTGTACATTGCTCAACATCTCATCAGCGCTAACCAGGATGCTTTCCTTTGTATGGTTATCATCAATATTGATTTTTTTTTTTTTTAACACAGATTTTCATTTTTTTTTTTAAATGCTGCTTTAACCCTTTCGGGGACAGCGGTCACGAGAGTGGACAGCTTATCATGTTATCAAGTTACAGGGTGCATGAAAGGGTTAAAGTGCTTCATTTGAATCTCCAAGCCAGAACCCATCACATCATTGCCCCCCCACCCTCCACCCCCCAATCAGGGTGCAATGGGACACTAGCGTGTAATGACATAAAATTATAAAATCTCATTTCATCGATCTATCCCTGCAATATATAATGACAGACAGAACAATTGAATATTCTTCCATTGGGTTCATTATAGAATAAATTCATGTGAGTACTAGATATCAGCTTTGCAATCAATTAAACAGGCCCAGATTTCAAACAGAGAGTACATTTATCAAGAAATTGAGACGAGATAATGATCATGTCAGTATTCATACTTTGGTGACATTTTTGTTTGGTGCTGTGCCATGAGATTTCTCTACTGTGAATTGGGTGCCTCGGCTCAAGTAAAGATGGGAAACACAATGATTTAGGAGACTGGTCAAATTCTGGTCATCTTTCCTCCCTACTTAGCATCCCCCTGAAGCTAAATTTATGTCTTGTTTGATTTAACGCTGCCAAATGGACCATGAAAATGATAGTAGGGCACGCGGGGGGAAGAGGTGGGGGCTGGGGGGTGGGGTGGGGGTCATAGTCTTCATTTGCCCTTTTGTACTTGGTTTGTAATTTTGCTCAAACCAAAAAGCGAGGCAAAGCACATTTTCCTCGAGGAAACTGTGCCTCTGTTTTGATACGAGTGTTAGTTTTGTCCATTGAGGATTGTCATCGGCGGTGTTGTTTCTCAACTATGATCAAGTATTATTACGTAAGTGCTCACGAGAGCACTAAAGTGCACTCAATGTCTGAATCACAGTCCACAGTTTAACGCTGCCTTAAATGCTGCTTAAGTGGATACTCGCAGCTCGTATCTTACTGAGCAGTGAAGGTTTGCAAATGTGTGCGACTATAGCGAATGGCTTTTTTTGGGGGGGGGGGTAGACTTTGTTTAATGTTGCAAACAACCGCAAAAAATTGCAAATAAGTTCGCCAGACGTTACCGTCCGACAGACCATGAAAATTGTTAGCGAGCGTTTGCGACCTTGAACGAACCCTGACGAAAAAAAACTGAATTTGCTCGCTAATCTTCGCTGCTCAGTGAGATACGGCCGGCCGTCATTTGATTGACAGCGTTACTGCAATTATTCATACGAGATGGTCAGTGCAGCTTGCAATGGTGTCGCAGTAAATGTTTCTAATATCTCCTTTCATGAATGATGATTTTTTTTTTCTTCCTTGTAAGATTAGGCTATTTTAAAAATTTGGTTGTAGATTGTCTATGTAGGTGTGTGCACCGATCAAAACAAGAATAGTGTGAAAACAACAAATGTCTCACATGCAGGGGTGGGACCCACCACATCAATGACGCATATTGAAAAGATTTTCTCTGTCAATCATATGCTCTTCTAATTCTCCTCGGTGCCATCTTCCATAACGACAGTTTCCACCCCTAATTTACGGCGCACCGCTTACAAGTACTCAGTTAGGGATCTAATCTAAGTGAATCCCAATTCTCGTGAGAATGAAAGCTAATCGAGATGCCTTGGGTCCGTCTACGTGATGTGTCCCACATCGCCGTCACAAGGAGTCCTCCGTGTCACCATCAAGGAGGCGGAGGAATCATTGGAGTAAGACGCAAGTTCAACCATTGGGTTCAAGGCAGCAGAATCGGAGTCAAAAATGTAAAAAATAAAAATAAAATAAAATTCTTCGTGAGGTCTGAAGAATGCCTCATAGAGTAACGCCCCATTTCCCCAAATAAACACTGCCCCGTTTTTTTTCTTTCTTTTCAGTTACAGACAAAATCTCATCCCATTGTGGAGAATAACTGAGGGCAGGATGTGTAAATGATAAATATTAATAATCCGCGGGGCTAATGTTTTGAGAGTCGCTCATCTGGTAGGGGAAGAAAACCCAAACACGGTTCCAAAAATGTATGCGGGGCCGTGGGAATGACAATATTAGGCAAAAAAAAAAAAAAAGTTTCTATGGGTGGATATTTATTCGAATTATTCACCCAAAAAATGATATCAGAAAGGAAAATATATTCGATTCTGTTTTGGATGCTATCTTTTGCATATGTGTAGTATGCACAGAAAAGAGTGAAGGACATGTGACTTCCCGATATATCCCTCGCTATGAATAGATACAATACTTGGCTAAAACATGAATGAAAGCAAAGCCTTTCATTAATTTTGCATCTCTCTGCGTATGCTTGCGTGTGCATCCTGGTGTGGCTCTGTGTTTCTATCTTTCTGTGCACTGTAAAAAAAATATAAAAATACTGACATTTGTTGACAACCCAACATTTTAAACATTCCCGTGGGAGATTTCGTTCCCTGTCTTGCCTGTCAGAAGCGGCCTCTGAACAGGCTTGCGATCTTCCCTATAGACAATTATTTAGGACGCTGACTGGAGTTATCATTCTCATACACACACACACACACACACACACACACACACACACACACGCGCGCGCGCGCACACACACGGGTTCTCCTAGATCAAGAAATAATTCACGTAGGCTTCCCTAACGCAGACAATTTAAAAGCCACTAAGAAGCAACGGATTGGAAAGTGGTGACTGTTTGGACCAAATTCACTGGAGGACTTCTTTATTTGCAAAGAAAAGTATGAGCTGTCAAAGTCATCCCAACTGCTGTAAATGTTTTTCTAAGATTGCTCATATGGTATTTAAAATGTTCAAATCATCCACAGTTTAACATTTTAAAGACCATATGAGCAATCTTAGATGCGGCCATGTTTTTTTTTTTTTTTCCCACGGTTGACATAATGTAGTAGCATCACCATAAAAAAAAAAAAAGTATGTATACTAGTTGCCTTTCATTATCGTACTTTGTCCTCTGCGGCCCCCCCTCCCCCTCCTCCCATTTCACTCAACGAGCTCACGGTTTTAAAAACTTTATGAAGGTAGCAAATCTAATTGCGGGTTCTTCGGATTCCTCCTCTCTTCCAAAACCAGAAATATTAAATATTCATAAGAAAGAAAACGCACCAGGCAAGAGAATATACAAATCCATTTTGCATTGTACTTCATTTCTTTTGTCTTTATTAGCATATTCTGGATAGATGATGTGGTTGCAGAAACGTTGCTGATAGCTGTCCGTGCGGAATTCTGAAAGCCATTTGGATATTTTGACACTCATCATCTTGTTTCGTAGTTTATCCCTTAATTAGTTTGATCTTTTTACTGTGGGCTAAATTGCTACACAATCAGCACGGTGAATTTTTTTTTTCCTCCTCCATCCATCAACACGGGCTCCGATATACAGTCTCTGCTGTGACGACAAACTCGACTAATAATCATAATATGAATACTTTTAACCCTTTCAGGGATAGCGGTTACTAGAGTGGACAGCTTACCACAGGGGTGTCAAACTCATTTTTGTCGTGGGCCACATTTTAATGACCGTTTCCTTTGGAGGGCCGTTATGACTGAAACTAAATTTAAAAAAAAGACAATAATAACGGTTTCAATATGAATACTTTTAACCCTTTCAGGGATAGCGGTTACTAGAGTGGACAGCTTACCACAGGGGTGTCAAACTCATTTTTGTCGTGGGCCACATTTTAATTACTGTTTCCTTTGGAGGGCCGTTATGACTGAAAACAAATTAAAAAAAAAAGACAATAATAACGGTTTAATCAACTATTGTTTTAAGTTCTGTCATGAGGGGTTTGGTAACAATAAAATGCTTACAGTATGTCTCTTATTTATTACATTGGAGAATTTTAAATTTTGGTCAAGATTTTAGCAAGCATCGTGGAAGTTGACATGTTTGTTTTGCTTTCGCGGGCCACATAAAATCATGTAGCGGGCCAGATCTGGGCCCCGGGCCTTGAGTTTCACACCTGTGGCTTAACATTATTGGTTCATAAATGGATTACTACCAATACAATCTGCATAGAAAACAATATTTACTGGTCCAATGCATACAAACAAACAAACTCCGAGACAATTTGGCTCACAACTTGGCAACCATGAATTAATTTGGCCCCCATTGAGAACTCATTGTCGAAACCTGGTCTAACTGTATCACTTATAATTAGGGTCTCTAGTAAGCTGCAATATCTGACCTGTAAAATTTTTCCACGGTCATTAACTGGAGTGCTGAAGTGATCCAATGCATACAAACAAACAAACTCCGAGACAATTTGGCTCACAACTTGGCAACCATGAATTAATTTGGCCCTCAGTGAGAACTCAATGTCGAACCCTGGTCTAACTGTATCGCACTTGTTATAATTAGGGTCTCTAGGAAGCTGGAATATCTGACCTGTAAAATTTTTCCGTGGTCATTAACTGGAGTGCTGAAACCACGTCATATTCCACTGCGTATGTGTATCGCGTCACCAACGGTACCCACAAGCATCAGCGGACATCTTTTTGATGCTGATAAAAGCTGCTGTATGTGCAGCATCATACCGGCTGAATCATTTGGTTGGAGGACAAGAGGGACAGAGCAAGTGGTGCTGAGTGGGCTTTGTCAGGATAACCGCTGAAAGAACGCCTTGACCAAATTCAAGTCACAGTCTGGAATGATTTTAACTTCCCAGGATGACCGATGAACGAACGGTGGACAGTTGATGGACTAGAGACGAGCAGCTCATTCTTTCGTGTATGGGACCCCAGATCAACTATTAGGACACAGACTAGTGTTTAGGTT